CGCAAACTAAGATTACTTAAAAACGAAATTGAAAAGAAAACTGAGATGGAGAGAGAAAAAAGATTGGGAAGCTGATGAAATACTTTAAACGACTTCGAATAAAAACCAAATAAATTCACTCCAGAAGTTTGAATCTTTGGAATTTTGTCGGATTCAAGTGGTTTCAAGTCGGCATCGATCACATCCGTACAACCGCGTGAGAACATTTTCGATTGCTCTCGTCTTCCATGAAAGCAGCGAGATGCAATCGACTCGAATGGATCCTCGGAGACGACCGATTCCTCGCAGAGGAATCTCTAAAGCGATCGACCCACTGTTTAATGTCGACTGTTTTGCAGGCCTCGATGTCGCTCCCGATTTGCTGCAGCCCCGCGCTGCACAAATGAGTCAGGTGCCAGTCGACTCGGAATCTACTAGCGGATTGGTTTCCGCCACGAAGGCAGCAGTTTCCGAGGTTCGCGATGTTCGCGATGGGTTTCCCACGCCGGAAGCGGGTTAAGGCAGCTTCGATGACGTTTTACATTCTAGAAAGAGGAATTCGATCGTCTTTGTCGGTCCGGGTCATCCCCCTGCTCAAGTAGCGCAAAAGTAGTGGACTTTATGCGACCCAGGCACTACATTGGCGGATTTCTGCCGGGGGGCAGGAACGTACCGCAAGTTGGACATGCAGTTGCTGGCCTGCTACCAATTGTAGGTAGGAGGGTCACCAGCTCAGAGAGAACTAGTGCCCCTCAACCAGTTCAGAGTGGAGAATGTAGCTGGCACTCCCCTAGATGTAGTACCAAGAGTCCCTACTAGATGGCAACCTCGTTCCCTGCACCCTACAAATGCTATGAATTATCTGCCTTCCTTAGTTACAGGTAGCAAACGTGTTTCTTCCTGGTTTTTCCTTTTTCTTAATCTGAAATTTATAAACAGGTACTAGGATATCGTGGATTTATTATGTTTTTATAGCAATATAAGACTCGGGGAATTATCAAATGTTGAAGTTATGCATGAGAATTCAGGAGTATACAGGACAAGGGTAGGGTAAGGAGCCTGAGTTATAAGAATGTCATATTACGTATATGATATGCCTTCCTAAGGAACACCAGATATTCCAGAAACGTTTCAGAAATGTTGAATGAACACAGTTGCTTCTGTGTGTAAATGTCGAGAACGTCAATGTTGCTCGAATGGTGAAAAGAAAAATGCATTGACGTTGCAAATCGTTACTTATTCATCATACTGCATTTTGTACGTTGAAGAAACTTTACAGGACTTCTGTTGCTGCAATGTTGATGGAAAACGTTGCTTCACCGGCACATAATCTGGACCTATATTGGCATTATTACCGGGAGAGGCATTGGCTTCACTGGCCTTGAAATAGACCGATATTCTGCCAATATTTATTTTTTTTTCAGCATTTCGTTCCATATCTTTATGGTACGAAATGATGGTATAGTACCATCTTTATGGTATGGTTATCTCTTTACCCAGGCGCTCCCATCAACAGGACAATGCCTGTACTGGCATAACCCAATCCCATGCATAATACAGTGACTGTATCATGAATAAGCAGGAGACATAGATACAGCAATACGTTTAACTCCACATCATCAAATTCATATCGTTCCAATTGTTCCGAAAACAACACTTCCGCAAAAGATTACGTGCGGGGGAGGGGGAGGGGGCAATATGGCATGGGGAGATATGAAATTTCTGATAAACACTGCCATGTCTCCCCTCAATCGCGGAAGTGATCGTATGTGACCCGGAAAGTCCTTGGAAAACTTTTCTCGGGGGCTCCAACCGACGAAACAGCGATTCCAGCGGACGAGCTCAATTCTGCCCTGTCTCGTGAACATCTCTCAGAGATGCTTTCAGTGACTTTACTTTCTTTATATTTATTTATAATATTTGCTTCATTTGAACGGAGAGAATACACGGAAAACCCATGCGATTTCGCGATATTGAACTCAATGAAATATATGATACGAAATGCTGAAAATTTTTTAAATATTGGCAGAATATCGGTCCAGTTCGGGGCCAGTAAAGCCTAGGCTTCTCCGGGTAGTAATGCCAATAATCGGTAGATCCAGATTAGGTGTTAGTGAAGCAACGTTTTTCCATCAACACTGCAGCAACATGAGTCGTGAAATGTTTCTTCAGCGTACAATATATAATGAATAAGTAACGATTTGCCACGTCAATGCATTTTTCTTTGCAACATTCGAGCAACATTGATGTTCTCGACATTTACACACAGAAGCAACTGTTTTCTTCAACATTTCTGAAATGTCTGGTGTTCCTTAGGAAGGCATATCCTATACATAATATGACATTTGGCTAACTCAAGCTCAAGCCTACCCTAGTCCTGTAATCTCCTGAATTCTCATGCATAACTTTTAATTATTCCCCGAGTCTTATATTGCTATCAAAACATATAATTCCACGATTTCCTAGTACCTGTTTATAATTTTCACATTAAAAAAAGGAAAAACCAGGAAAAATCACGTTTGCTAACTCAGGAAGGCAGGTAATCCATGGCAATTGTAGGGTGCCGGGAACGGGGTTCCCATCTAGTAGGGACTCTTGGTACTGCATCTATGGGAATGCCAGCTACATTATCCACTCTGAACTGGTTGAGGGGCACCAGTTCTCTCTGAGCTGGTGACCCTCCTACCTACAACTGATAGCGGGCCAGCAACTGCATGTCCAACTTGCGGTACGTTCCCGCCCCCGGCAGAAAACCGCCATTGTAGTGCCTGGGTCGCTTATAGTCCACTACTTTTGCGCTATTTGAGCAGGGGGATTACCCGGACCGACAAAGACGATCGGATTCCTCTCGCTTGAATCGAAAACGTCGTCGAAGCTACCATCGCCCGCTTCCGGCGTGGGAAACAAATCGCGAACATCGCGAACGTCGCGAACTGCTGCCTTCGTGGCGGAAACCAATCCGCTAGTAGTTTCCGAGTCGACTGGCACCTGACTCATTTGTGCAGCGCGTGGCTGCAGCAAATCGGGAGCGACATCGAGGCCTGCAAAACAGTCGACATTAAACAGTGGGTCGATCGCTTTAGAGATTCCTCTGCGACGAATCGGTCGTCTCCGAGGATCCATTCGAGTCGATTGCCTCCCGCTGCTTTCATGGAAGACGAGAGCAATCGAAAATGTTCTTACGCGGTTGTACGGATGTGATCGATGCCGACTTGAAACCACTTGAAATCCGACAAAATTCCAAAGATTCAAACTTCTGGAGTGAATTTATTTGGTTTTTATTCGAAGTCGTTTAAAGTATTTAATCAGCTTCCCAATCTTTTTTCTCTCTCCATCTCAGTTTCCTTTTCAATTTCGTTTTTAAGTAACCTTAGTTTGCAATTAAACTCTACGAAACACATATCACTTCCATTTGGTAATGAAAAGAACTTCGAAATTACACCAATTTGAGTCTTAATAGGCCTTAATATTAATCAACAACAAACTCAGAGGCATTTGTACGACCAACAGACTGGAAATCGATCAGAACTTTTTGCAATATTCGAATCACTGCATCTTAAAAACTCTGGACCTATAGAGCTGAAATTAGACGTGGACGAGTTCATCGATAGACCTAATGACCACATGGAGTGTCATCCGGATCGGAGAGAGTGGGTCATCTTTTTCGCGTTACTTTGATTTGGAGGGGGCAGATTTTCCCGTTGCGATAACGCCCTATAAGGAAACAATGAATGAAACGAGCCGCTTTCAGAGAAAACGTTTATTGCGGGATCAGAAGAGACGAGACGACCGAGAGAAGCAGTAGCACGACCGCAGCCCCGCGACCCGCAGCCGCATTGCACAGGTCCGCGTCGCAGAAGCAGATTTTGACGTTGGGGTCGATGACGAACTCCATGACTTCGGACGGGCCGACGCACCCGGTCTTGTGGAAGTGGTGGCAACCCGCCTTTATTAGTTAATCTGTCCGGGAATAAACGTGAGTTTCCCTCAGATGCAATCTCTTCACCCCGATCTTTGTAGAGATTACGAATTGAAATTCAGGAGCGGAAGAGGCAGAAATTCCACCGATATTAATGATTTTAATGCAAAAGCACGGAAGAATCTAAAGGCAACTAATGAGAATATGGCCATAAGGGGAGGGGGCGGTCGCCATCTCTCCCCTCCCCCTTCCCCCTCCCCCTTCCCCCGCCTCTGACCGACCACGAGAGAAAACAGAGAGCGACAAAAACACCCCTAATTGCTGGAAGGTCTGACCCTGCGCTTCGTTAATCGTGATGGCGAAGGACGGGGAACCGACGCCAAGTGAAGACGAAGAGTAACCCAAAGATTGAGGCGTTACCGTAAATCGTCGCTTTGTAGGACAATGTGGTATTGGCGGCCTAACGCTAATCACATCGCAACCCCCAGTGCACGTTTCCGAACGTTAATGACCTGTGGCTATGCTGCGTGTACCTGTTACTATGGCTGTGGGAGAACACACGCTATCGCGCTGTGCGCACGCGTGTGTCATGTGCGCGCGCACGTGACCCTGCCCACCACAACCACGGACCACGGTTTTAGAATTTATTGTATCGGTAAAATGTCCCCCAACCTGACTCTAAATAGATTCACGAACCGCCCATCGCATCAACGACGGTAACGATATCGAGTCCTTCCTCGGCACAAAAGACGGCAAAAAATAAACGCCTCATCGCCTGGGCATCCATACGAGAGGCAAATGTAAAATGCAGACGAAAGCGTCCGTTTTCATAGAAGCCATCCCATCGGACCCCATCTGACTCAAAGTGCTCGAAATGTAAACCGAATGTAAACCGAGGACCTAGTTGCTCCCCCTGTTGCCATTCACCCCAAATCGAATTCCAACTCAGGCAGTGAGGGACGGCTTGGAAAGCCTTCGCGAAGTCTAAATAAACGATTTTTCCTTTCGTCTGTCGTGCAATCATGGACTTGGGGCAGATCGGTGAGGCGATTTCGTCAACATTCAGCGGAACCGAGCCGGATGCAAGAGTTTCCCTCGGGATTCAACCGAGGAGACCCGTGGGATTCACAGCAAGAAAGTTTTCTGATTCCTCTCCCCGACGTTCCGGATATCTTCGAAGTCTTTCGCTTCGACCGAATCCGTGGGATCCGCGACGAAAGGAGCGAGACGTCGGGAAGCGCCACTCACGGTCTTCGTCGAAGACGGAGACGCAGAGAGTCTTCTCTTCCGCCGTCATGTTTCTCTCCTCGCAGACCTTGAACCACAAATCGCTCCTATCGTTGTCGCAGTCGTCCTCGTTGTTGCAGATGAAGCAGACCAAGGCGTGGCAGCACCCTGCGAGGAAGGAAAACGTTAAAAGATCCCTCGATATCGAAGACATCGCCGCGGACTCACCTGCCATCGCGAGTATGAGGAGAAGTACGGGAACGTTCATCGCGGGAGACCTGCAAGAAGAACTTTCGTTTTCGATCGGACGGGATCGAGCCGGCACACTTTAGATCCGCCCGCTAGGAGCTGCTTTGTTCTCCCGAAGTCAAAGAAGAACCGCGAGGACAGAGGAGAGGGGTTTCAAACCAGCTGCCGACGACGATGGAACGTGGATGAATGGTGGATGCAACCCCTCCACACAGCCTTTTACCTCCCTTTGGCTCCTCTTATCTCCCTTCCAGAGAGGGAGGTGTCAGAGGTATCATATATTGCAATTCAGCGTAGCCATTCCGGTAACAGGAACAGGGATCTCCGTGGCGCTGATCCTCGAGGGAAACCTGTTCCGAACGGAAAGGCGATACCGTATGAGAGACCAGGAGTCGAATTATATTTGCTGAAGCAGCTATGTCGATCTCGATCCGAGACTAAGGTTAAAGCTTTCAAGCCCTGGTCTTAATCTGCGAAAAATTTTGTTTGCGTTCGCATGACTCCCAGACGAATGCGGACTTCGGGTGAGATTCCCATCTGAGCGCTCGGTAGTTTATATGCTTTTCATCGTGCGTCTCTGAAAGTTCGGGTCTGTTCCGGCTTGAATTCGTCAGCTGTCTCGTGAGATGTATTTCACATGGGTGAATTCACTTTTTGCTTCGCTTCACTTCGCTTTAACCCCTTACTACGTAAGACTGTGGCAATTGGGGGTTTCCGAAACATCCTTGATTGTCCTGATTGGGAAGAACACCGATACCTTTTGGGCGTATATTTGTTGCCAAATGGCAGCATATTGGAATCATCAGGTCCGTGCCAAAGCTGATTAAAGAACATATGGCTTATTCCACAATCTTTTTTTTTCCATTATTATATTTGTCGTCAAAACAAAACATTGTCTTGCATTAGTTGTCTGATGCGTTCATCTAGCTTCATTTTCTTAGGTTTTACAAAATTATACCTTTTGCAGTCTCTCCTCTTCGTGCAAAATTTTCCTTTTTGACAAAAACCTAAAATTCCACTAAAATGGCCGAATTTGGGTTGTTTAATGGAAAACTTCCTCCTTTTGTACCTTGAAGGAAACACATTCGAAATTTTAAGCTTTCTCTCCGCGGCTTTGAGACATGCAATCTGAAAGAAGCGGAACTGGCCAAGGCGAATGCAACTTAATTGTAATGGCCTCAACATATAAAAATACGGACCATTAATAGAAATGGAAAACGCATCATTCATAATTATTTGACGACGAAAGAAATATGGATGCTGTAATGGATCAACACGAAATCTCATGCTAATGCTTTAAATGAAGAAAAAAAAGGTAAATTAAGAAGAAAATGGGAGAATTCCGCTTATTTGCAGCTATTTTCCGGCTGCTTGCATACCGGCGGCTGATACGGTGGTTGCTGATTCATCGGTACAGCCCTACTTTAACTGCATCAAATTCTTTATTCCAATAAATATGTTCCGAGAATGCCTCTTCCGCAGAGGAGGGGGGGTGGTGGGTGGGGGGCAATTCGGTAGGGGGAGATATGACAGTTCTCAGTACGGTGATATATCTGACCCTCTCATATGCCTCCCTCACGCGAATGCGCCTTTACTTCGAGTTTTTTTTTTGTCCAAAGGCGCAATCCAACTCGGTAGCTAATAATATATTGCTGATGAGGCGCGATCTCGATGATGACGTCCGTCTGGAGATCGTCGGGGCACAAAGTCAAAAACAACAGAAAGCTGCGTGGCGCTTGAATCGGAGCTCCTCCGATCACCAAGTTAAGCAGCGTCAGCCAGGACAGAACCTGGATGGGAGACATGGGAACATCCAGCTGCTTGCCTTAGGCGGCACCGATAAAGGGCGGATGAGACTCTCGACAGTCCAACGACCGTGGTGCCCCATGGATCAGAGGATCACCATGTGCACCCAGTGCAAATAGGGCCTCACCTGCCAGTTCCTGAAACTCATGCTCGCATGATGTTGCCACACCTAAGGAAAGCTCATACTGGCTCGGCCGTCGCCCAGGATAAAAAGGGCCGTGCTGGCTGCAGGTCTTCTGGTGCAGTCAGTGAAAGGAGGAGGTTCTCACATTCCTGTTCCTCACCGGGCAGAAGGAGGAGTAAAGGCTACTGGTGAAACATCCCTTGCCCAGGTGACTGGCTTGACACTCGATCCTCTTCTGCTACATGCCCCCCGCAAGGATACGTATGAAGTGGACAAAAGCCATGAACACTGACGTCATGCGGACCTACTACCAAGCACGATCCGATGCGTTTCGCTTTTCGTACGTTAGCAATGAAATCGGACGTTTTGTGAAAAGTTTGCAGAGCTTCGGGATTTGTTCAAATAGTTTTGAAAACGGAAGTATAGTTTCGAGAAACGGACGTTAGCAATTGGGAAAAACTGTAAGATCACTACATGAACAACTCGCCAGTGAAATGCAGAAAGCAGTGAAGTAGGAGCCAATCCGGCAGGAGCCACTCACCAACTCCCGAAAAACGCCGAAACCGAGCTACCTCGGAATTACAGGCCCATCACCTGCCTGCCG